AAGCACACTTGCTGTCAGATGTAGGTACCAGACAGATGTGAGACTCTCAGCTAGCGTGTGCTCTCTTCCTGGGCTCCTGCTAGGCCGACTGACAGTGCCAAGGGTTTTCACAGCACAGGAACAGGAAATTTTCACGTATGTGTGAAATACGAAGCACCTGGAGGTGAATCCGTGTCTGTGGGTGAAACGAGTGACTGTTGTATCAGGTGAACATACAGCAAAACACCAAGCATGAGCAGAGCAGACACAAACACCTCCCCTTTGATTTGTATCCTCACAGCAGAAGGCGGCAACACGTAACAGCAGGAAGACCAGTGTCTGATGTTATTTAAAATGTATAGTGCAAAAACGCGCCATTACAGATAGCAAAGGTTACTGTATTCCAAACTTTAATTGAAGCCACTGCATTCAATAGAAAAACCTTGTACAGAAAAAAGCCATAGACATTTGAACATGTAAGGTCCATATATTCTTTAAACAGAATAGCCTTGAAGCAGATGAATTATTATTGCGATTAGTCAGTAAATCAAAGCTTAGCTGTTACTGTATGACTATACAGTACATGTAAGCTAATGTTTAGTGCATGGAGCAAAGAGCAGCTGTATACGCATAATGACTCAAGCATTATTATTCTTCGTGTGTTTTAAAAATAAAACAAACCGTGAAAACAAAATCTGTCTGAATTAGAATGGGGTGATCACTCAACACAAGGGCAACACTACTTTAAAATCCACTGTTACCATTGGTGCAGACCTGTCATGTAAAAATATAATTCTATTTATTTCTTGTGGTGTTTATTTAAATATGGCATGCCTTTAACTTTTTACAAGGGGTAGCAGTCACACCTGTCAAAAGCTCTTCTTTTGTAAGACTAAAGAAAAGTGTTTTAAAGAGAAGAGAAAATCTCTCAAGAACAATTTCTTTAAAAGATTGTGGACATGGGGAACATATAATATTGCTAATTTTCCTAATAGCCTAATAGCTTTAGAGAACAGAATACACGTTGATCAAATCCTGGAGATGAGGGGTCAGCCGTGATGTACCTATATCCAGCATGCAGCACTTTAAAAGGGGCTTATTAAACAGTGATGAAGCTTGGAATTAATATTCCTTGGAGCACATTTTTAAAATCTAGGTCATGGTGAACATAATTAACTCACTTGAATTCCTCAGTTACTCCATTTCTAAGTGTATAGAAACTGTGGTTAACTGCAGCCTACTGATAGTGGCATCAGTTGTAATTACATCGAAATATCCTTGGAGCTGCACCCCATGTTTATGACTGGCTCTCTCTCTCATGTGCCTTTATGTACAGTTTGTTATTTTCTTACTGTGCTCCATGTGACCCTGAAAAGTTTTGACTTTCCATCAGGTCATGCATATTCGAAAGCTGCTGCAGAAAATGGACAGGCCCAATGGTCTCTATCCAAACTACCTGAACCCAAGAACTGGGCGCTGGGGACAACGTAAGTACCATTGTGAAACAAAACTATTGCACAGGTCTGGTTTTTAGCCACCTATTCAAATGACCACAGCCAGTTTGCAGAGTTCATATTTTCTTTGGTTTTATAAGAGCGTGATCAGATGTTCAGGTATCTGGCTTTTAGTTACATTAATTGTTTGCAAATGCAGAGGGTGAGTAATCCCATCTACAGGTGAGTGATCCATGGAGTTATTGCCATCACACTTTTTCATTTCTCTGTTTGGCACTTGTGTTGCTTGTCCAGTTTGTGCCACCCTCACTGTCAGGTTTTTAATTTGATTTATTCTGCTTACACAGCTGTTCTTTGCACTTGTCCTGGGTAAGAACATCTGTTCAGCAAATAATTATAATCCATGAAGCTTTCATTTCTCAAGGTTTAATTTCATTTTGCTGTTGTTGTTTTTTTTGTGTTAATTTCTATGATGTTCTCTTGAAATATGGTGCTCTTGTATTTGGTTAAGCTTTTCCGTCAATTTTATAAAAACCTTAGTAATATATGAAAGTCATAAATAAAATTAGATTGATCTGCTTGTTTGGCCGATGTCATGATCTTGAGTTAAAGCGGTTAAACTCTGTGTATAGCAAATTAACTACAACAGCAGTGGAGTGTTTGTTGTCAGTGGTGGAATGCTGTGAGTTTTCTTGCCACAAGTTGGATGAAGTAAGAAGATGAATTGTAGATGAGTTGTTTTGTATGTGTTGAGAAACATTGTCTCTCTTTGTCGGCAGTCGCTAATATGAAATACAGTGTCTTAGATCCAGCCTTCAGGGGTGATGGCAGACTACCTGGTAATGAGCCACATTTACTTGAGGTAATTGTTCTCTGCCTGTGGATTCCCAGGCCTGCTGTACTGAATCGTGAAGCTTTCACAGTACAGCACATGAAAGAAACATACAGTAGCGGTTGCTAGGAACATTTCCTGGAATACGAACAGGAGTATCATCCGCACTCATTAGACAGGCAGAACAAGTCTGAAGTGCGTAAGTTCACATAACTTGATATTTTGACACAATTTGATAGTTGACAATAAGTGATCATGGCAACTCACTGTTAACTTATTTTTTTAATGGGAAACGAGAAAAAAAAACATTGCTCTTTTCTCTTTTGTTTCTTGGTTTGGGGGCGCAGTTATCCCTCATGCTGTTCTTTTTGTTTTATTTGTCAGATGATCTTCCTTAGACAAAGACCGTTCATGTTTAGTCCATGAAGAGTTCTCCTTCTTCAGGGTGCAGCGGTAATGGCGTTAGAGTAGAACTCCGCCGGGGCCAGACTAAGGGGAAGAGCTACGTCTGCCAGGGAGGGCCAGGCTGTGGCGGGAGAGGGAGTGTGAGGGGCTCACTCTGCTGAACGACTGCGAACGGGTCCGACCTCTGACGCCCCTCCTTGGCTGAGAGCTTGCGCAGTGTTTTTCGTTGCATTTGGCCTTCGGCACAAACGGTGGCTGGGTGCACCCCTGCTGTGCAGCCTGTACTGAAGGTGTGTGTGCACATAACAGACAGGAAGGCACACTGCTTTTACACAAGCAAATTATAGTGCAGAGAAGGATTGTGGGCGGCTTGCTGGCGCATTAGTTGGCATTGCTGCACTGTGCTGGGGCCCTGGGTTCAGTTCCTGGGGTGCTGTCTGTGTGGAGTTTGCATGTTCTCCCCATGTTCATGTGGGTTTCCTCCAGGTGCTCCGGTTTCCTCCCACAGTCCCAAAACATGGTGGTGGGTTCATTGGCCTCTGTGCGGGCGTGCGTGCGTGCGTGCGTGCGTGCGTGCGTGCGTGCGTGCGTGCGCGTGCGTGTGTGTGTCTGTGTCTGTGTGCACTGCGGTGGACTGGCGTCCTGTCCAAGGTGTACTTTGCTCTGCTGCCAGGTTAGGCTCCAGTGACCCTTGCGACTCGGAGACACTGTACTGGATAATGTGGGTTAAAAAACAGGTGGATGGAGAAGGAGTTGACTAATATTCACTGAACTATTTGTATCAGTCTGTTTCCTATACAAAGACATAGATATTCTTATGTAACATGTAAGAAACCTGCCTTTCCTAATTGTACAATGAGGACTCTCAGCAAGTTGAAGACATCTGCTTTATGAAATTATTAACTTATTCATGCCATTTATGATTAAGCTGCAGTTTCTGACATGGACTGGATGGAAAAGGTTGCACAAATTATTGAGCTCAAGAATTTAGAATTTAGTTCAAATCTTAAAAGTTCAAAACATATATCATTGTTAATGAATGAAAGGTGACCATGGGATCATGGTTAGTACCAGATACGTTTATTACTGAAGTTTATTAATGCCTCGCATGTTCTCTGCAATCTATTTTGTGAAGAAACTGAATTGGACAGATCTGTTTTTCACCTGAATAACAAGTACCTTGCCCAAAGAACTGTACTGTTCACAGCAGTTTATATTGAAAGTAGATGGATTTTAACAGTCAGGATCAATTACAGCAGAACAGTTGACTGCCCTTAAACAGAGCTGCAATTATACAGGAGTCCTGGAGAACTACATTTTAATTACTCTGCACCTGAATGCATTGCAGAATGACGCCCCTCTCATCTATGCACACCACAAATGTCAGATGTGACTGACAGAGCTCTTCCCACTTGTTAAAACTGAAGCAACTGCTGTCTTTATCATTTAAAGTAATGAGGTTTTAGAAAGTTTTTAGACACACTTGTTTTAGGGTTTTTCCTTTGGAAGATGGTACATAATTTGTACTTACAGAATATTACTCAGAAAAACAATTTCTCCCTTAATTTCCTTAAATGTCCTTAATTCTTTTTTTTATTTTTTTTACTTAAAATATTAATTTTAAGACTTGATTCATTGAAATGATACTATAACGGGTGGAGCAGTGGCTCTGTGGCTCAGGATCTGTGCCTGTGGCTGGAAGGTTACTGGTTCAAATCCCGCGGCCGGCAGAGGAATCCTACTCCGTTGGGCCCCTGAGCAAGGCCCTTCACCCCAACTGCTCCAGGGGTGCCTTATAAATGGCTGACCCTGCGCTCTGACCCCAAGCTTCTCTCCCTGTCTGTGTGCCTGTGTGTCTCATGGAGAGCAAGCTGGGGTATGCAAAAAGACAAATTCCTAATGCAAGAAATTGTATATGGCTAATAAAGTGATCTTAATCTTATAGACACTGAGACATAGCTTTATAATTTAGAATTTTAAGAGTAAACTTAGTTTATATAAAGCATTATGTTTGTCATAGCTTGTGCTCCATGATGGAACTGGAGAAGAAGAGAATTATATATCAGTTGATTGTCTGATGTGTTTGCTCTGTATTGTGTGAGTTTAGTACTGTGAATTTGGTAAAATATACCACTGAATTCACTGCAGCAGTTCTTTTTTTTTTTGCAAGAGTTTTAAGATTCTTTAATGGGGGGAGATGATAAATGCAGAAAGTTAGTAGCTACTGTACATATTCCCAGCTCCTTAGGAAAGTAAGGAGTAGACAAGAATAGAGGAGATATATCATTGTTCTTATTAATAGTAGCTGGAGCAGTTAATATATTTCAGCCTGCATTATACTGTAGAGGCAGGCAGGTCTCTCTGGACGAGCTTTCTAATTTAAATCCTTATTCCCACTGGCTTCGGGCGCTCTGTATGCACATGTGGAGTGTTTCATACCTCTTTCCTCACCCCCATGATGTGCAGTGAGAAACAGGTACTGTAGGTACCCATGTGAAACTGGTATAAAAAGGTGGGCAGGATGTCTTGACAGGTGCCTTGCAACCAGACAACTGGAAACTCTGCAAGGTTGTGTTTAAGACCAGAGGTCATTGAAAACTTGATTTAACATTGAGAAAATGTGTTACTGGAAAGATGAGCTACACATCAATGGGCAGAATTGTTTTAAGAGGATTAACATGTTTCTTCGCAGTTGGATCTGTTACCTGTTACCTTTTATCTCATGGCCTTGTTTTGGAATACAATGTACATAGCAAAGGTCAATGCAGTTGGTAGTTGGTAATCTAGATTATAGATTATAGTGGCCAAGCTGGGTTTGTAGTGGGAATACATTGACTGTTTTAGTTATGCATGTTTAAACGAATAATGTAAATGTATCAGTGTTCAGTAGAAAGTACTCTTTTTGCTTGAAAGAAGGAAACCTCAACATGTAGTGATAGAAACCTATGTACAGTATAAGGCAATGAAGGAAATAAATATCCATCAATATTTCCATAAATATAAACTGAAATTTGCCACGTTAGACACCATGCGCCTCTGCAGAGTGAGTTGATGAATTTACACCATGTTTGATCCCCCAGGCCTGCAGAAGTGCACAGCGCCCAAGATCCCTTTTAGGAAAACACATTGACGGGTGAAGAAAATTAGACTGTTCTGTATTGTAAAACCTAAGAGCTACAGCAGTTGCATGCATGTCAAAACAAAGGGCACTAAGATGAGAATTCCAGTGTCTTTTTATAAATGCAGTCCTACTTCTAGAGCAGGGGTGTCCAGACTACAGGAGTGTGATGGGGTGTATTTACACCTGTCAGTCAATGTTTGGATTTATTCCTCACCTTTTTTAACCCTGCCTTAAAAACGCTGTCCGAAATGTTTTTCACTGACTCTTGTAGCATGAAACATTATTTTGTGTCCTACATGTATTTGGGTTTTACCAATAAGACGCCGAAATGTTTATCCAATAATTTTTATTCCCTTCAGATCATTTTGAAGCAGCAATGAGCTCTCCTTTTTACTCCATTACACCGTCTAATCCTAATGCCTTTTAATGCGGCACCTGTAATAGTTTGGGAATTTTCTTCTTTCATTTCTGCAAGATGGGCATTATCTAAATGCGGAAAAAAAACCTTAAGATTTAAAGATACAAATCTCTCATGTATCAAGGCTCCAAACGAGATTTTTTAACATAGTCACAGGGCAACAAGGCAGACTGTTCATAAGGTTTGTATTATATATAATATACAGTATATTAAACTACAGACAGGAAAGCATTATTATTATTTATGATAGTGCAAAG